ATGCTGTACCTTTAAGACTACTGTATGTAAATAGAATCTGTTGTGACCGGTTAACTATTTTTCTAGAACACTATAATTTTGGGTCAGACATTAACTTGTCCATTAAGAGGCAATATTTGGAACCTGGAATTGATTTCCAGTGGTATTTTTGACTTCCTTTATAGACATTTTTTTTATGGTTACCGTATTAAATGCATCTGTATTGTATTTGATGTCAAATATCTAAATTTAACCGATTACTTTTAATTGGAATACTACCAGTTTTATCACCAATAAAATGTTATTAGCATCAACAAAAGTCATCTTTACATTGGAACAGAAGCTGATGACATGCTTATTTACATCTAAATGTAATGTTCAATATACACTTTTCATTCATTTTCATATTTCACTTTAATCGTGACCGTAGATTTAATGTAATTGTCCAGGGCCATATCCCCCCATCCAGAATTTAGGGGGAATTTTTGTTAATTTCTGTGGCATTTTTACCCCAAGCTCCTGGGACAGTATTTATTCATATATTAATTTATTTGTTTGTTTGTTGAAAAATGAAAATGAAGAAAGCTAATTACAGATAATAGAACAAATACAATAGATCAAATTGTTATCGTGAAATTTGTATCATATGGCCCACCCCTAACTTGTATTATAAAACTATTATTTATGTATTCATTTAAATTATTATTAGATTTTATCGAATACTTGTTTATTTTATTTTACAGTGCAGTAGTGTTACAATAGTAGTGTTTCTTATTTTTTGATTGTATTGAATAATCACAATAAAAATCGCAATTTATAAAATGGTTTATAATTTTTTATTAAATGCTTGATTTTTACAGTGCTGTGGTATTATTACAGTAGTAATATATTTCTCCTTTTTATTTATTAATAATTTCAGTAAATATAAAACTAATTACTAGTTATTTTATATTAAATGGCTCAAAAAGTGTGAATATGGCCTATGAGGAATATTGTTCAAATGGAAATATTTTTTTATTTTTCCCAAATCATTCAGCACTAAAAATATTTAAAGAGTGTTTGTCTGTATTATTTTTATTTGTATTTTTTAAATTTTTTTATGCAGATGCACTTCCCTACAAAATCACCCCAATCATTCTACAACGATTAATTATTTCCAAATGGAAATTGCTTCATTTTTTTAAATATTGTATTAGTAAATAAATATTGCAATATAGTGTCAGTATTTTTTTTTTCCAATATCATGCAGCCCTAGTGTTGATATATAAATGCGGATGTTCTTAAGTTATTGAACTCGTGGTTGTGATTTCTTTTCTAATTTTCTAATTGGTACACCCCTTGCAGCAACATCATTTTCATAATTATTGGTGATTCATATTAACTGACCCAAATAAAAACTAGAACCACAAAACTGTGATGTAAATCTAATCAATGTTTACGCAAGTACAAGACTCTTTCATTTCAGAGGAACAGGAACTAGAAGTTTCACATGACATGAGCCTTTGAAATACTGTTTTTAATATCTAAATGCATTCTGTCCTTAAAACTATGTTTTGCTCACTCAGCATCCAGTGACGACATACGGTTACGCATTCTTATTTTCACTGATGGGATATTTTGGCATTTCATTCGTCCTGGCTCTGATAAAACTTTATGGAGCACTGGTTGCTGTCACAGGTAAGACAAGCCCTCTCATATATGTAAGTACTTTTGGGATGATCATTCAAATTTAGTAAATAAAGATAGTGAATTAATGCAATTTTTCTCCTCTCTCCAGTGACTACAGGAAGAAAAGCCATGACTATCGTGTTGTCATTTCTGTTCTTTTCAAAACCTTTCACTTTTCAGTAAGTGAACTAGAATCTCTTTAAACACAACATGAAACTACTTTCGTAACGTATTGAGGTGTATTTCCAAATGCAACAATGCTGAGCAAATAATGTAACTGGATTTTATCCATCAGCATTTGATTGGGTCAGTTTTAATGTCATGTTGAGTGTTGGTTATACAAATTACATGTTTTGTTGAGATTGATGTACAATGGTTCTTTCGCAGGTACGTCTGGGGTGGTCTTCTGGTGGTGTTTGGCATCTTCCTTAATGTTTACAGCAAAAACAAAGACAAAATGAAGCTTCCCTCCTTAGCAGAGCTCAGAAAAAAAGTGCTCAGCGGGAGGAAGGTGCGTCTGCTGTCTCAGGACGTGTAGGAGGGAGAACTCAAAAGTGTAATTGATGGGCTTCTCCTACGTCTTACATCAGCTGATGCATGGAGTGTGGGGACCGTTTGAATCAAAGGGACCATAAACTAGAGCCAAAAAGCAAAGATTTGCACTGGACAAAGGTGGAAACTGAAGATGGAAATGGTTTCAGTAGGAAATCCCTTTTTTTTTTTTTACAAAACAAGTCCAAATGAATGTTGGCCTGATGGGAGCCAGTTACATTTTAATAGAATACATTTCACCTGCATGTGCCGTAAAGTAACGGCAACAGCTGACATTCAAGTCAGGACTCTATTTTTTGAGGTAACTGCAATTGCACAGGTGAAAATAACTCAATGATTCTGTCTGTTTAAAGGGCTGACATTCAGAAAAGGTTCAACTTATCAGCTGCCATATTTGCCAACCATTTGTTTGGTGAAAGGGTGGCTGTTTTTACATTAAAAACAAACTGGGATGTTGATTCAGACAGTGTGGAGTGTTTTCATGAATAATGGCGTCTCTTATCCATTGGCTCCA